ACTCCCCAGCACAAGAGGCGGGACTCGGTAATAAACCCGCCCAGGTTTCATGTTCTTCCACATGACGACCCGGGTGACCTCATGCAAGTCGGCGAGGAGGAAGAAGTGAGAAATAGAATAATAGTGCGCGGAAATGGAGATACGGAAATACCCCCTAGGTAAATGGGGCGACGGACAAGATGCAGGAGGCCTAATAATAGACCCCTTCGTATAGCGTCCCATAATGTAGCAGGTTTATTTACGCATTCGGCATTTACTCGTATCCATGCTGCGGCTAGAGTATGGGCCCAACATAGGTTGGATGTCATTTGTTTACAGGAGACACATCATATGGGAGATGGAGACCTGACAATTCTCACTAGAGAATTGCAATTCGCGGCTCAGAAAATAGGGATACCGGGATGGGATATAATAGCACAATCCCCCACGACCAATGCCCGGACGGCTGGAGTGTTAGTGCTAGTGCGCAAAGATCTTTATCGCGACTTTAAAATAATACAAACACCGGCACGACTACTTCCGGCTAACATTCCCCAAGGCCGTAGCGCGTCGGTTTCGTTCACGTGGTCACCGTATTCATTTGATTAATTTGTACCTCATGACATCTACTTAATCGATAGATCAGAGGAAGGCGTGTGTGCATTCTCTTGGCGATGTGGTAAACAGGATAGGACAGGATGATCATTTGCTTTGGGCTGGAGATTTTAATTTTGTCCATAATCCGAGGCTAGACTCCACCACAGGAGAAGGGAGTAGACCCGCGGACTTGTCCTTAGCTAAGGCTTTCTCCGAATGCTGCCCGGATATGGTAGACACATATCGCTACCTCCACCCTACCCGTCGCGACCTTTCGTTTTTCTATAAAACAGGTGTGTCGGGAGGGTCACGTCTTGATCGAATCTATACTTCCACAAACCTCACCCCCTTCATCGCTTCCTCTACCATTCCAGTATGCACTTCGACAGACCACCGTTTAGCTATTATTGCTCTTTTACCTCGTCTTGTGAGAACGCGTGGTCCAGGCCTTCCACGGCTACATACGCATTTCTTAGATTTCCCTGACTTGAAGGGAAGCTTCTT